GCTCCTGCTTCTGTTTGTCTTCATCATTTTTCGGGGGGCGCCTGGGCGTGTCGGCCTTTGTCGCACATTTCATTTTGTTATTATTAATTTAATTGATTTGGACTTTAATTCGTTTATTTTGGAACAGCTGGCGAAAATGTTATTAAAACAAAAAGTTTACGCTCGGCTCGTTTCGCCTATTTTTAGACGTTTTTCATTCAAATATACTTTCAACATAAATTTTGGCTTAACTACCGTCGTTTCATTTAAATTGCTTTAATGGCTAATGCCTTTGGCTGTGTGATCTTTTGCGGATTCTCTTTTCGGCTCTGAACTGCGGTAACCCCAATTTGCATTAGATGTATTTAGTAGATATATTTTTTTGTCAGCTTGTTTAGCTTTAATTTTTGCTAATCATTCGCGCCAGTCAAAATTTCACACCCGACCGAAAATCCAGTTTGAGCGTTTTGAATATAAATTGGTTAGAGACGGAGCAACGAAGCCGGCATTGCCCTTCAAATCTCGTCAACAAATCTTAAGCTTAAAGTCAATATTTGTGTTGGCTTTGAGCCGAGTGACGTCATCGAGGGCAAAACACGCCGATCGGAAATTGAGCCCCTTCAATTAAAGTGAATCTCCCAAAGCAAGGGGTTTTTATATTTATATTGCTGATGCTTTGTTTCCCTTTCCAACTTAAAAAGTTAATTAAAGAGCGTATGCCAGGAAGCGCTAATCAAATAAGTACAAAAAATTAATTAAATTAAATGATATACAAATAAATGAATGGGATTTTTTTGATACATATATTCAAGTGGGAAACCAAGTCATTTCTTTTATTAGAATAATTTATTTTTCCTATCTTATTATTATTATCTACCAAAGTTTTTCGGTAAAACACTCGTACTTTTTTTTTTAGTTTTTCTTAGCAATTATATCTGAATTGGCATTTATGCAAGATAATAATTTATTGACCCAAAATTATTTGTAATATATAAATGAGTTGTTCCACTTTTTTGCAAATAATAACTAGTTTGTGATTCCTAGCACTTTACCCCATAAAAAATATGGCAGGGTATTGGAATTCAAGAGTAACACATTTGCATACGTTTATTAAGGATTTAAGCTGCTAAAGACACGTTCCACAGATAACAATGAAGGCGAAACGAGTTCTCTGTTTTTCCAGCTCTTTATTGTTTTATGCTCGAATAACTGAGTTAAGTAAACCTCCTTCTTCTGCATTCAATGCTCCAAAATAAAGCCCTACGTCATCGTTTAGCATTTGGCACTAGCCAAAAGTCCCCCTCATCCCCGAAAAATGCCACTGCAGTCGCCGTTTCGGCCTTTTCCATGTCTTCGTGTAGCCATGTGGCCTTTCTCCAAAAAATTTCAAATAAAACAGTCATGAGGCCGTACCACCTGCCCCCTCCCCAGCGAAACACTAAAACCCCCTTCCCCAAACATAGATGGCGGAGAGTTTTGCAAAGCTCGCGTCATGCGTTCCTCCACTTGGCACCTATTTATGTATTACCCACAGATCGGGTCGCAATAATAGGACAACGATTACATCATTTATTTTTCAATATCCAACTTATCTTGCTTATCAAAATAAAATAATATTGTAAACAATTCTTCAATCTTTTTTAGCAGTTAAATAATCTTTGGTTGATATTAAGGATCATCTAAGTTATAGTGATTTCTAAAACATTTGTAATAAATAATTATACAATATTTTTAGATAAATTCGTTTTAACTTTATAGTACATATTTAAATACAAAACCTCACGTATTCAAAACTCTTGCACTTCCTTTGAATATTTCTATGGCGATTTTTTTAACCTGCCAATTAATTTCATTGCACACAATCTGTTGTGTTTAAATACGTTTTTGGGGTGATTTATTGCATACATAAAAGTCATAAAATTTATGATCAATTTATAGATAAACTAAGAAGAAATATACTCTCAGTGCAAACCCAAAAATATTCCCATATTCGTTCCCACTTCTGTACATCTTGTATGTGGTGGCATTCAAGCAGCGCTTATGTGTGTGCTTGAATGTAAGGTATCGCATATGAGTATTGGATGGACCGTGTACTCATACTCGTACTCGTACTCGTGTTGATGGTCTATTTTTCTTCAACTTTTCTTCTCCAGGCCGTTTCTTGAGACGCGGTCTCTTGTTTTCGGTCTTGTTGTTGTACATTGCCCGCCGGCAACCGGTCACGTTTACAGCACTGAAAGAAATAAGTGCTATAAATTGTAGTAACAATTTTAAGATCCTAAACTAGTCGTCTCTAAAAATTGTTATAGTTTCGTTATAATTTTAATATTTAGTATAGTTTAAAGTGCATTTTATCTTATCCTAATTATTTAAAATATTAAAATAAATGTTGTTTCTTAATGTCAAACAACATAATTAAAGTTTCTAAAAGCAAAATTTAATTGGTCTGACAAGATTATATATTTATCAGTTTAAGAAATTTTGTAGTATTCGCCTTGTGTTAAAAGACATTAGAACATTAATATTGAATTTAAATTTGAATATTTGTAAAATTGTTCTAAGTAGCAAATATAGTTACGATATTGTAAAAAATTAGTTCCACTTTGTCATACATTTTTTTAAGAGATCATGGGAGATTTTGTAATTTTTTTCTGTGTGTGCTTGTTGTTGCAGTTGACGCCAGGGGAAACCCCCTCCCCAAATCCCCAGCCCCCTTAGCTTAAGTGGCCAAGATAGGTAGGCATTGGATTGGAGCAGCTGTGTGTGCTCTATAACTGTAAAAACACGCTCGCCCACTTCCTTAAGAGCCGGCATTTTGACCAAGGCGTCGTTTTGTTTGATTTCTGTTTCGTTTATATTGCCCCGATCGGATCTCCATCCTCGCATTTATATATCTTTCTAGTATTGGAGACTCCCCCTTGTGTGTGTTAATTTTTAATTGTGCTAAATGTGCACATAAATACACAATAACCGCCAGGCAATAGCATTAACAATATACAATCCGCAATTCACAATTTTCAATTTCAACACCCACACATAATTTGGCTTATTTGTGGCTTTTACCCTGCCTGCTTTTTATTTTGTCTGATATTATTGTCGTTGGCATTGGATCCCCACAGCTGTCTGCGTACGCGTGTATATCTGGGTTTGTGCATGACTTAATAGCTGATAAATGCTATATGCTAGGTCGTATACCGACACAGATACGGATGTCTATATTTGATACTTAGCACACAGTGCATTTGTCCAGTGGACATGTGGCTATTGGCCATTATGGTGGCAAATAAACCGTCCCAAATACTTTGTTGTTTTCTAGGCTGACAATATATTGGTATTTATGGTCCTATCACCACTACATCAATACAAATAAATGCGTAATAATACATTTATAACGAGATAACACTGATCGGTAATCGTTCTTAATTGAACAATACAAAATATCAATTTACTCTTATCGTTTCTTATTCATGAATATCTTAAAATACGTATTAAAATATAAATAATAGATTTTAAAAACTTAAGATGCACTTTACAAAAGTGCATTAAAAATGTAACTAATGAAGTTATATTTCATATTTGGTACTCGAGCAATACAGTCAAATACCAACAAATATTTTATTATACATCAATCAGAAATCTTTGTTTTTTTTAACGTAGATAATAATTTTTAATTATCATCTCCCAAGATCGAGCAATGAAATAAAATGTTTATTCTTTGAAAGCATTTAAGCGGTTTTATAAACAACTCAAACTACTGGGTATTGACCTTATGATTAATCATTTGGTTTTCTTCACTAAGCTCTTCAAGTGATTTATTTCGCCCACGAGCAATAAATATTAAAAATGTTTTAAGTTTATTATTCAATTATTCTTTTCCTTTTTTTTTGTGAGCCTACCTCACGCCAAAAATAAAATTCTTTTGATGTTTATGTTTAGAACAAAGCATTTAGTAAATGCGAATCCATCCCCTAAGAATCATATTTTAAATGATTAATTCATAATCTTTTGCGCAGGCAACGGGTTGTATGAGTAATATAACTTTCGAATTTAATATTCATTGAAATTTAGATTTGTTTTTCCTTTCAGTCTGCATTTATACATATTTTATTAATATTTTTACAATAAACATTTTGGCGCAGACATATTTCTACGGGGTGAAAAAAGGTGGAGTGGTGTGGTGCCCAATTTGGCAACCACGGATGTATGTGGCATGTGGCAAGAGTCTTCTGTTCCTTTATTCTCTCGCCTGCGAATGCGGTTGCCACAACCTCTGCTGCTTTTGCTTTAGCTTTTGCTGGGTGAGCAGTGTTTATGTACGGAAGATGCTGGCTCATGATTCTGCGAATGGCGTGAACTTTCCCCCTGCCGCAAACTTCTTCTAGCCCCACTTCCCCAACGTCCCGCTGTGATTTTAGATTGCCCCAGTCCAACCGTATGTTTGTGTTAACAGTCAACAGCATTTGCCCCGCAAAACGTGCACATTTCCATGGCGTTTTTACAATCGAATAAAATAATAGAGTCGAAGGCGTCAGAAAATGAAAATATAAAAACCCTTTATTTAATTTAACATGCAAAGAAAATAGGAATAAAATAATCGGGCAGTTGGTGAAAGGTGTTTTATTTATTTAGTTTAAATAGTGAATGAATTGGTGAATTATTCAGTGAAATATGTTTTTTTTGTTCAACAACTTTGTGGAAAGATAAGTAAACTTTTGTTAAAATTTATTATCTGAAACTAGCCTTTAATTACAAATTTTTTAAAGAAAATTTAACTACAAATCAACCAAAAAATTCTGAAAGAGTAGTATAATTAATTAATGGATTACCAACATATTTAATAGTATCCGAATCTTTTTTTTAACCTTTACGGCTTTAAATATATTAGCTTAATATTAATGTTTAAGTAAACAAGCAAATAGTTAGCATTGGATAAATTAAAATGTACTTCATATTACTCATAGTTTTCATTTCCAAAAAGTATGTACATTTTATTGTAACATTTTATACATTTACGAAGTGGCTCAAGCGTAAAGGCCTCGACCATTAACTCGGCCGTCAAAGAGGCCCACTTCTGGCCGGTGGTCTCCAGGACTCCGTTGTTTGCCTCCCTCAAGTTGAACGGCGTCGAGCAAATGGCAAACCGGCGGCTCACAACGTCCCGTAGCACGCGGATCTCGCCGCGCACGCGCCTCTTGGCACTGCCAGGAAAGTGGCTCGTTCCGCTCCAGGCCAGCTCCAGCTTCTGCTGAGCGTTGTGCTCCCCGAAAAACCATCCGCGTGTGGATATTTGGCAGGAGTTGCAGCACATGCTTCATGTCCGCGGCGACTATTTTGGCCAGGTGGTTTAGGTCTGCCATCACCGGATAGCCACTGTGGACATGAAGCAAGGCGTTGTTGGGGCATTCGTCCACTATTATTGCTATCAAATGCTTTTCAAGCTCCTCTAATGCGATGGCCTCCCGCACCTGCTCAAACGCCGCCATGATTTGCGTGGCCGTAAATGTACTTTTCTTCTATATAGGTAAATAAATATATTTAAGTACATATGCATGATTTTTAGATATTTGGGGCTACTTACCACTTCGGTGTAAACAACCTGTTTCACGGACCCGTCATCTGAAGTTCCTATCATTATTAGCGTGTGTCCCGGCGTCGGCTGGGTGCGTAAATTCTTTAATTAAATTGTTAAAAAAAATAGACAAGACTTGGAACCCACCCCAGTCAGGTGAATGACGTCTACCATCAGGTAGAAACACCTGCCGTGATCCTTTAAACGCTTTACGCCGTCCAAGTTTCTAAGGATCCCGCTTGGCCGGAGCGGATCATCCACCTGTGGGAGGTGCTTTTCCACCTGGGCGCGCAGGTGCGGCATGGCAAAGAATTTTAGACTGAAAAGTATATAAAATCGCAAGTATTGTCACTTAAAAAGTTTGAACAACGGCGCTAAAACTGTATGACCACCTTGGAGAAAACGGAGAATGTCCCGTAACGCCATGCGAAAGTGGCCAGAAAGCGCCTATATTTGCGTTAAACCCAAAGGTGGTCACACTGCCTGGACCTGAAATCTGTGTGTCGCGAAATTCTCCGTTCCGCCGCATTTTCCGCGAGAAAAAAGTGACGTCGACGGGAGCCGAGGGTGGGGGTCGCCGCGATCAGTTTTCCGTGGAAAGTGATCGAATACACCAGTTTTCCCGTCGCGTGTGTTACCCATGTGCAAAATACAGTGCTGCCAGACCGTCAAACTGAACTTTACCGGTTTTTCCCCAATTTCTCAGTTTTCCGAACTCGGCCCCCAACGTGAGACCCCCCAAAAGTTGCGCCTCGCTCCCCCACACCCTCCACGACCCTGGGAGACCCTCAGAAAAGCGTAGGAAACGCTCCCAACCCTCCCGACCCGAAATCAGACCCTCAAGACGACCCTCCCAATCCCGGCGTTGCCAGCCTCCCCATCCGGGCGTTGCCATTTCACTGTAAGTTACAGTCCTAACAGATGTTAATAAGCAGCCTGTAACAATAATTCTGTTATGCGTAATTTAACGCAAATGTCAGTTTTATGGTTCATTGCCTACTTTCAGGCAGCAGCTGCACGTTGTCGAGAGTTGAGCCTAAAAGTAGGCAACTGTGTAAACGAAAGCCTGAATTCAAAATTAAATAAGATTAAATTTGGAAAACAAGCAAATAATTCAGCAACTGATTTACGAGCCAACTGGGACTGCTGAACTGCAGTGTGCTGTGTACTCGAATTCCCTGTGTTCCGTTTACACATGTGAAAACAAATGGGCAGTCATTAAGTGCTTGAAATATGCATGCTTTAATTGTCAGCCAGCTGATGCGTAGTGGCTCAAAGCTGCATTAAACTTCAATCAACGCGAGTTCCACGGATACTCCGATATAATCTAATGACTTGCATAAAGTCAACAATCGGAAGCGAAACAAATTAAAATGCCACCAAAAAGCGACAAAATATGGTAAAAACCCCCACACACACACGACACTCGACACTCGATCTCCTCAAAATGGCTCATTAGACATTAGACAGACAATGTCTGGTCACCGATTTCGTTAACGTCATCGTCGAAGTCATCGAATTCGCGATTGATCAGCTCCATCAAAATCAAATCTGCTCGTAGAACGCTCTCCTCTTCAAACAAAGCAGCGCCCAAACACCTGAACTCAGGTGTCGCCTTTGTTGCGTCTATTGTCTATTGTCCACTTGACACCCGGTAGTTGGAAACATCACAAATCGGGGCGTATAAGGCGGATACAGATTTTGCCACAGAGGGGGTAAAAAAAACTGTTTGAAAGCCATATAAGTTTGCGGTCTATATAAGTCGTATTTGAATGCATATATTTTCTGAGAAATGGAAATAATTAAAATGGCTATAAAAAGTCCATGAACCTAAAGTAAAATAAGGAATATAAAGGTTTTTGGGATTGTGGGGAAAAGGGTAGTATTCGGGATTTTGTGTGAAACCACATTCTTTGTACCATACTTCTTAATCCCCCATTTTCCATTATTTTTAACCGTGTGGGGAAAAGGGGAGTGCAAATTATTAGTATGTTTTACTATACATGGCTTATGGCTTACAATAAACATTTAATTAAATTTTATTTGCACCTGTATTATTAGAAGGGTGTTTCTAAAATGAATTATTTAAAATGCAGGCTAGAATTAAACAATCATTCACTTTGAAAAGGTATTGTAACAACAAAACCCTATATAGTGAACTGCAATCAATAAACACAATCTGAAATAAACACCATGTCATTGAATGTTGTAAATCTTATTTAATTTTATACTCAATAGATTTCCATATATTTATATGGTTGATATTTACTGGGTATCTAGTTATCGAATCTTGAAAGATGGTTAAGTTCTATTGATTGTGGTGATGTGAGCATGCCGGTGTAAACGCTAAATTGTTAAATGAGCTGTTGATGCCCGCTTGCGATGGCTAATTAGAGCGATTTCCGATGCATAAATTACGAAAGTAACGTTTTCCCCTGCTCTGTATCTAAAAAAAAGGGCTAATTTACATAATACCTGTGCATGTATGTGCGGCTGTTACACCCACGCAATCAGCTGGTGATGAACACATGCATAAGTATGGCCATAATACATAATACAAGCGGCTCAAAGCGTGTGGAACGCGATGATGAAGTTAATACGCTAAATTGGTCAAAACAAACGAAACGAACAAAGTCGAATGGCGAAGCACTCGGTAAGAGAGACGGCAACAGTTTAGCCGAAAGAGATGGCAAGCGAGAGGGTAGAGGTAGAGGTATAGCCACAGAAATTCTAGTGATCCGCGTAATAACTGAAGTTGGCCGCTCAGTTGCTCAGCGGCAGTTGAAAGCGTCGGTTCGTGGATCAGCGATCGTGGATCGTGAGTTTTGGCCCGCCGTTCGCCAAGGTTAATTAGCCAAGATCCGAGATTCGAGATTTGAGATTAAAGATTTTAGATCCGAGATTCGAGATTTTAGATCCAAGATCCGAGATTCGAAATCACCCAGCGAGAGAGAGCGAAGATCACCGGCAACCTAGTGATGTCGTTTTTTCGCAACATACGCTCCTCCCTGTCCTCGTCGTCACGGGCCAAGAGTTCCCGCTCCTCGTCCCGCGACACCACGCCGGTCCGCTCCGGATCCCGACCGGCCAGCGTGATCAGTGGTGTGGGCTCCGTGGTGAATGCCACCGGGCGCCGGGACTCCACCACCAGCTCAACATTGCAGCGCGGCGACACCTTCATTCTGCCCAATTCCGAAGAGGAGGCGGGTCCGCCATCGAACACCTCCACGCTGGAGAAGAAATCGAAAAAGTCCAAGGTCTTTGGCAAGTTCAGCACCTTCACCAAGCGCAAGAAGACCCCATCGCCGGAGGAGGTGGCCAGCTATGAGCATCATCCGAGTGACACGGCCACCAATACCTACTACAAGTGGCGCAGCGATGGAGCGGATCGTCTGCAGGACTACGATGCCCAGGCGGATCCCTTCAACTTCCTATACGAACAGCACTCCAATTTGAGGAATCTGCAGTCGGGCGATTCCAGTGGGATCCATCGACAGGCCAGCATCGGTTCCAATTCCAGTGGCAGCTTCGATTCATCCACCTATCGCAAGAGCAAAACGCCCACGCATTTGCGAGAGCAGCTGGAGCAGCTGAAGACCCACTCGAACGACGATCTGCTGGAGGATCAGCAGCGGGAGGAGGATGAGCGGGAAAAGTACAAGACGGTGACGATAAATAGCTTCAGGAAATCCTTTAGAGATCGCCTGCTGCAGCAGCAGAAGGAGACGCCCCACAATCCCGCCTGGTTTGTGGAAGTTCCCGCCGAAGCCTCCTCCGCGAAACCCCTGCAACGTCGCGAATCCAAGGAGAATCGTCCCGATTTCCTGGTCTTCGACAATGACAACTATCGTCCCCAGTCGCGTTCTCCGCTGCGGGATCGCCCCTCCCGCTCCGTCACCCGCTCGCCAGTGAAACGGAACGAAACCTTCCGGGTGACCCAGCCTTCGGTGCGCCACATGTCACCCTCGCCGGCGCCCACACCTGCTCCTTCTATACGGATCGAGATCAAGAACTCCATATCACCGCACTCCCCTGGAAGACTTGTGCCGGTGGGCGTGGCCAAGCCCATGCCCACCACGGAGTACTATGCCCAAAGACTGCTGGCCAACAGAAGTAGCTTAAGGAGTCCTAGTCCGAGTCAAAGTCAGAGTTCGAGGTGGTATCGCCAGCAGAGTTCACCCACTAGGTTAAGTGTGGGTCACCAGCAGCAGAACCCGCATCTTAACCTGCAGCAGAACACTCACTTTAAGCAGCAGCAGAACCATCACTATAAGCAGCAGCAGAGTCCTCACCTTAATCTCCACCAGAACTCTCATCTCCACCAGCAGCAGAGCTCCTATCTCCAACAGCAGCAGCAGAACCCTAATCTTCACCAGCAGCAGCAGAAGGGAGGTCGCACCCTGGTGCACATAGGATCGGATCAGGGCAAGGTTGTAGCTCCACCAACCAGAGGAAGGGCGCCCACAAGGGTCCAGCTTTATGGCAGTAAGCCCCAGAGTAGACCCCAGCCGACGACGTACTTTGGCGGGCACTATAATGCACCAGTTAAACCCATTCCCCGGGCATCCTCCACAGGAGGTCCCACTGTATATTTGGGGCGTCGCGAGGTTCCCATGACACGTGGCACCACCAACAACAACAGCACCTCCGCCCACATTGCCGCCCCCGTGCCACGTCGCAACCGATCGCCGATCAAAATGCCCTGGCGGTAGGCGTTAACCGAATATATATATATTTGTATACATCATAACGCCAATGGAGAATGGAGAATCAAGAATGAGTGGAGTGGCTTTCATATATAGCAGTTATTTCCAAAGTGACAAAGTCGATGATATTGCGTCATTATCAGAGCTGGAAGCGCAGCTCGGTAAACGTTGTTTTTGCCCATCGATAATGGGCAAATAAATGATTTATGTATCCATGAGTCGCCCATATAATTCGTATCGTGTGTTGTGAATTTTTTCTACGTAAAATTATTGTTAAGTAAATAAAAAATAAACGACAACAGATAATGCAAAATGTGCGACCCCTTGGGGAATTTTATACATTTTAATGGCTTCGGCGAACCCGAAAAAGCACTCGGGACTTCTAGTATAGAGTGTTAATTGTCAGTTTTCGAGTTGCCCCCAAAAAGAGTGCTCTGAACTCGCTGCATATGTGTGCTCTAAAAAATGTAGTTAGTTTAACGGGCATATGAGCATATAGCTTTGAGTCTGTATGACTAACTGTGCATGAAAATGAGCGAGCGTTACGTGACGAGCATTAAATATGGTCACTCAATTGGTCTGATGGGTGCGGAGGGTGCGGAATAAGTCTAGTTAGAAAGCAGCTGATGAGCTCTTGGCCATATTTGGCTTGGGAAAAATGTATTTGTACTTGCAAATTATGGAATAAATTAGACAATTTGCCCCAAGCCAAAACGCAAGGCAATGGTGATGTCAACCGCCGTTCTATGCGCTTCTCAAGAGGTTTACTTCGAAGATGAAACCGGTCAAAACGATTCTACCTATATTTACTTAGAAAATTCACTTTTACAACTATTGGCTCTTGCAGGGTATGCTCTGAAATAAGTTGTTCTCCTGCTAGTAAATTCCTTAAAGCAAAGGCGAAGTAAACGGCCTTTCTATGCGCTTCTCAAAACTATTACTTAGGCATTAAGATTTCAAAAAGATTACTACCTTTTTAAATAAGTTCTTTAGAAAAAATTAAAACCTTTTTACTTCATTAAAAATGTCTTTTAGCAGCACATTCAGATTTGCTGTTCAATAAAAAAACTACTGCTTCTAAATATAGATTGTTTTGATGACATGACAAATTTCCTGCGCTTGCCATTAAATAAATATCGTCTGTTCTATTAGCTTTGCTTTTGTCAAACTTGACTTAAGTGCGCTTAAGTATATTGCAGAGTGCCAAATACAAAAAAAAAATATTTAAATCTCCTCTAATTAATGTCACCTTTTAAAGCATTTTTTGGGGATTTTTACTTGATGCTGATTCTATGAAATGGCTAACACATTAAGTCCGATTTCGCTTCCCGCATCCGTCTTCTGGCTGTCCGCTAATTAGTGGATCATTGCCCCAGTCCAACTTCAGCTTAACTCTCCGCACATTTCACTTTCTAATCTGGCAGCAACGAGGCCAACAAAAGACTCGTCTCAGGCCAAAAACGCCATGGGAGGCACAAGATTTTGAGACTTCTTTGGTCAGTGCAAGTACAACTTTAGTTTTTGCTTAACTCTACGCATGATCTTGAACTACATTAGTCGCAGTTGGCGACGCACTTTGTCTGGCCAGATTTTCTATTGCGTTAATGTTAACTAGAGTGTGAAAATCACTAAGTTTGCAATGTAAGCTAATACGGAGATTAACCTTGCCTATATGGCTGAGATCTTGGCGCTATTTTGCGTGGGTCTACAAAACAGGTTGAGATCGTAGTTTGAATCATCATCATTGGCAGTAAACAGCAGCGGGCTAATTCGAGATCGTTGGGTCGGAGGTTCCTACACCGCCTTTTCCAGTAACTTCACTTGTTCCGTCTGTGAATTTGTTAATTTTGGTTGTATTTTCGGTACTTTACTTAAGTGTGTCGGTTTTTTTCGGGTCTCTCTTTTTTTTTGGGTTGAGTTTTGCAATAAACAAACACTTACTGTTCTGTTGCTTGCGCTTTATAAGATACAGTATTTTTTTATACTACGCATAGATTCATTTCCAAGTAACCCAAGACCGGTTTTTTCTGTTGTTGCCGCCAACTGAGACGACGACCTACGGATTTTAATACCCTATAGCGTTTTTTATTCAGGGTTGGATTGGATTGATTTGCCATAAAAAAGGTGATAACTGGGAAAGACCTGTAAGAAAATAAAAAACTGGAAGTTAAGAGAATTGTCTTAATGGTTTTATTTAATAAAGTATTTCTATATATTTTGAATATTTAAAAAACAATAAACTGAAATATTTTTATGTCAGCATAGTAAAACCATTTTTAGCAAAAAGCGTTAATTTAAAAAGAAAACATGTAAACACTGCGTATGATTGATGCTTTTGAATAAAATAAGTCCACACTACGTATGAGTGATTATTTTTGAAAGAATCTTAAGTTAATCAAACACCAATATATGTATTGTATATTTAGCCTTGTTTAATAAAAAAACTACTAAAAAAAGTTTACTTGAATAAAAATAGGTAAATAAAAATCTTTGCTTGGAGCTCAAGTGATAATATTTTGTATTTAAACATGTAATAGTCCAAGGTATCCCATAGTCGAGTTGTAAACCAAGTTACTCTAATTTGAGTGCAGACAAACAGTCAACAGCCGGTGGCATAGCGTCATTGTTCGAAAATGTAGTGACTGAACGAACTTTGATTCAGATATGTAGATTTTTTTCGATATTTTGCTATAAATTTCGCTAAGCTGTGCCAGAATTTTAGCACCGAGTGGGAGTCCCCGTCGCTGAGTGGGCTCAGCAGAACTGGACTGGCCACCATTAGAGCAAGATTTGTCTGCGCTAAATCTTACAAGACCCCGAGCCAAAGAAGGCAATTGCAGCATAATTTTCCTCATATCGCAAAACAAACTCATCTCATGTATATTTATACCAAAGATTATGATAATTAAAACGAAATTGGTTCACAGTCGGCAAGATGGTACATGACATCATGGATTCGGATGAGAAATTGGAGGAGGAATACAAATTGGTTGATAATCCAAGCATAACATTAAATCCGATGGGGTGAAATGTGTTTAATATCACATTACAGACATAACGTGTTCCGAAACTTTCGCCATCATGGATTTATTGACATACCCATTCGTTTAATTGGAGACACATTAATCTTTGAACAAAAGTACAACAAAAGGAACCATCAAAGTCAAAGCGGAAGACAAAGCGGCGACCCGCCTAAGTGGAAATCAAACATTTGCCCAACAGCGGGCCAAGTTGCAACTTAATGCCAATAATATCCGCGCGTCAGGCGCAAATGTTTGCCCTGTCTGTCCTGCCATCATGTCCTCGTACTCGTACTCGAACTCGTCCTTATCCCCCTGTCATTGTCTCTCCGGCATTTATTCCGCCGCTTTGAACTGGGTCAGCATCGATTTTTGGCCAGCGACGTGTCACAATTATCGCTGCCACGGATGGATTCGACGGCACCCAAATGGCTGTCCTGCTCAAAAAAAATCCCTAAAAAAATTTTATCATTTTTCGCTACTCGAATATTAGATACCTAATCTAGTCTGGTGTGTGTTGCATAAATTGAGTTGCCCACTTTAGGGAGATTTGGCTTTAAAGCGGGTGGGATTTTGAAAAAATGTGTACTCGGGTCACGATCGCATAAATTTTATTGCCAGATAACTTTTCTCTTCACTTTCTAAGTTAAGGCATTAAATATTGCCTAAAAGATGAGCCTACAAAAACAAAAATATTTATTTTAAAAGATATTCTTTACTAAAAAGCTAAATTATTATTGCTAGAAAAACTGTTTGTGAATTTTTATTTTAGTTGCCCTTTATAGCTTACTTCTCCCGGTTGCATAAACAATATACCTTTTAAATATGAGAGTAATAAAAAGCAAGCCGAGTGCACTGAGGGCATCGCAGGACATCCGGAATATTAATGTCCGGGGTCAGAGCTATGAAAAGTCAAGTCTCGTGTTTATTGGCAAGCGTTAAGGATTACGTATAGCCGGCGGGAAAAGAAGCAAAACAATTTTTACTGCAGTCCTCGAAAAACGGCACAAAGACAAAGGCAAGTTGCCCAAAAATGGAAGCGTGCCAAGTGCAATTTCTGTGTTTTGCTTCCTCTGTTTTATTTGTTGGCTTGCCTCAGCGTGTATTTTTGGAACAAGTGCAACATTCACGGCGGTAACTGCAACATCCAATCCACGGCAGCAACTGCAACTGCCACAAACACATATTCATTACACCCTACCCCCCTCCTCACAGTTTGAGCTTGACTTTTGGCATGTGGCATCGGTTGTTGGGCCTCCGTTTTCTTTGGATCCTCGGCAGTTGGCCAACTGCGATTCCCATGCATTTGCATCCGTAGTCCGGCCATTTCAGATATGGCCAGAAGTACATGGAATTGTTTGGCGCAATGGCGCGTAAATGAGCAGGGAACAAATTAAGTTGTACAATCGTAAATCGGTTTTTGTCTGGGCGCCTTGTTTTTCATTTGCAATTTTAACATGGTTTTTAAAGGTATTAAAAAAAGGGTAGTTTTTGCCAGTTGGCAGTGCTTGCAGATGTTGGCAACGGGATAATGGACCTGTAAAGTAAAAAGGCATAATTATCTTAATGCATTTAAATTAGTTTTTCTGTTTGGAGATGAATGGAATACTTCTTGTAATTGTAAATCTGTGTAGTTGTTGAACTGGTAGCAAAGTTTTGAAAAATAGGTTTACTATTGTTTTGTGTTTGAATTCTGATTCTATAAATCACGTTTATCTGTATCCTTGGCTTCCAATTTTCCATAATTATTATAGTCTAGTATTCTTCTTAAGTAATTAATGCCTTATTAAATTAATCACTTTAATCTGTTTTTTTTTCCCATTGTTTGCATAATAATAAATGCAATTTAAATTAAGAACTGTGGTAAAGCTTTAAGTAAGGATAATTTATTGATGGACGATTTTTTGTTGATAAAAATTTGTGATATTTAATTATATTAATTAACTTTTTATTATCTACTTTTCAGGGTGCCATTATAAGAGAGATTGAAGATGGAGTACGTTGCGAGCAATGCAAATCAGATTGTCCAGGTTTCGCAGCTCACGATTGGAGGTAAGCCATTAACTAAACTATACAAAAAATATAATAAAGTAAGTAAGAATATTAATTTGTTATTGAACTTCGTTATTAGTTTAAAGGTATTCCAATATTTGATGCCTTCACTGTAAAGCTTTCTCAAAAAGCTTTCCCACTTGATAGGTGTAGTACCAGAGCACAGCCGCTAGATGGAGCGGGGCAACCTATTCAAAAACTGAAAAGGCTATAATTAAATAAACAAATTAAATAAACAAAGGCCA